CGTAAATAGAAAAAATAAATTCCGTAATTCTGTAATCACAGGCTAGACGTACAACGTAATCAATCAAATATTTTTTTCGTACACTGTAAAAATGTGTCATTTTTCTCGTACGTACAAAAATTCACATCCAAATAAAAAAATCGTAAAGAATAATCCAGGGAAATAACATTTTAGAAACTGTAAAACGACTAGATGACAGAATTCACTACAAAATTGAATGTCAAGACGTAAAAGGCCCTCTAACCGAATGAAGAGCATTACGAGGGCAATATGCGCATGCGTCTCTTCACACGGCGCAGCAATGGTGGAGAATTTGAGTTGGAGAGCTCTTCGGACCATTCAATGTTCCATTTGTTAACACTGTAAACTGTAAAAACGTCCCTTTTTTCTTCGTAAATTGTGAAAAGCCTTTTTTATTTCCCGTAAAACCGTACCAGCTACCCCCTTGCCTCCCCTCTATTTACAACACACTAGACGAGTCGTGTACTGCAAAATTCTTGGATTAACACTTCGAATGAAAGACGGAATATTCCCTAAAAATGCACTGAGTATAGCAAATGAGCTGAAAAATTGATGGGAAAAGTGAATTTAATTGAACTATGGATTGAATAATGATGTTGGTGAAACCAAATAATGTAGTTTTTGTATAAAATGCATCTTTCCTTGACATACTTCAAAATTATTTCCGCATTATTTGTGATACTTACTAGACCCGTAATTACCAGCAACGCAATCTGCTGCGGTGCCTTGATTAGGGTGGTCACACTCCCAATTTGTCCACACTGTAGGAGTACCATCCGTCCACACCCAGTTGTCTTCCTACGTAAATTTATCACATGTACAATTAATGTTAATGACCGTTTAACTTCCATAACATAGTCATTCTACGTCATTATCTGTGTCTCTTTCACTGAACTTGGAATAAGCAGGAATAATAGTCCTTTAAATATGGTGATCAAGAAGAAACATAAACATAGTCTGATTCTTGTCAAATGTTCAAGTATAAGAGTAGTTTTTGTTTTCATTTATTTAGAGATATTTGTAATGAAGCCATACATGTTGTTATGTGAAATGTTGTTATATTGTATAGTCTGTATAACCACTTTTCCCACAACTGACCCCTTCTCAGAACAGACGTAATGAAATTTCATTTTTTCATGAGCCATTCAAAATAAATCTAAGCGTCCCAGTGGCTTAAATTGAGCTTAATGCTTTGTGACAGAAGTTGTCTGGTCGCAGTGAAACTCTTTATATGAAGTAAACCCATTCATTATTATGACTATGGATTATGGATGAATACATAGATCAGCTGTTAACTGATATGGAATCACCAGAGTCAGTTCAGAGTTGTGTTCACAACATTCTGAATGAATGCGTTGTTCCATCACATAACGACATGACAACATATGGTGTGGGGGTATTGATACATTTATACTGGATAGCCTTACCGGACATGCAATAGAAAGTAAAGTTATACCATTATGTCTGCAGGGGCTTTTAGATTTATTGCTTTTAAGTGGAACCCTGGTAATGTATACTACTAATAGTGTTTAGTTTAGAAAATTATGTGATAGTGAAATTGAAGTAGTTCCTTTGCCGTCTGCATGTGTAATAGACTTGTCTCCAGTCATGACAGCTGTGAGAAAACATGATTGGAGGACTACTAGTATTCATGGACTGGTTTGCGTGTTATGTGCTAACCGGGATGACACGTGCTGACCGGGATGCAACCATGCAACAAACGTGGATAATTCTTCAGCTACTAACTACACATACAATTTATTTAGCACATTACGTGCCGTTTATCTGCCAGGCCGTCAAACGGCTGAAAATCATTGACACAGATGCATTCATCATCAGTATTTTGGAAATAATTACCAATGCATAGTAATTGATATGTTGTTACCGGCCATATGAAATGCATTTTATTTATTTACACAGAGTGATCAAAAATTACACGTTCTTCTGAAAACACCAGAACGTCAGATACAAGGGACTCTTCTACGGACTCGTGGTGATAGGACACCCGCACAGATTTCTAATGCTAAATTCAGTATTAAACTCAAGTTAACATTGAACATAGAGTTACACTTTTTAGTGTATGTTGCGTGATTTATTCTCGCTGTGTTTTATGTTTAGTAGTAGTAAACGATGGATAATATATAAAGTACGTTAGTTCCGCTACCTCATATATGTCATTTAGTCCAATCCAGTAATCTCCGGTCGTTTGGGCTAATTCATTTACGAAGCCTTCTTCTGGCGATGAATGAATTGACGCCAATTTACACCCAATCGCTTGGTGACCACAGGCACTATCAGCGTCATTAAAACTATCAGCAGTCGGAAAATATTTGTAGCAATACCCATTTTGAGGCCAATGCGTAAATCCACTGGGACAAGATCCTAGTAAAATAAACAATAACATAGACTTATGAAAATATGCAGGATGGAAATAAATATTAGAAAATATGTGAATATTACTCAAAACGTGATCTATATTTACAGCTATTAACTTGCGTCAACAGTGAAGTATAATGTATCATCACGTGACAGTAAATGTTGACCTTGACCGATGAATTATTTGTATAGCTAATGACATCACTTACCTTGAACCACAGTAAGGCTTACACTTAGTGCACATGCAATGATAAGGATCTTCATGTTCGTACAATGTGAACAGACTGTATACCTGTCACCAGTAAAACAAGAAACACACCTATGATACATGATGCTCAAACACACTGTGCACTGTATATCGTTTGAATAGTTTGCACAATGCGTTATTTAAGCAATACACCACCACCGGAGGCGGGTATACCACGAGATATTGCACAATTCACGACATATATGCACGAGCGGGGTTACACACCTATATTCCGACACCCCAATGTTCCGACATCCCTACATTCCGACATCTCTATATTCCGACACCCCTATGTTCCGACATCCCTATATTCCGACACTCCTATGTTCCGACAACCCTATGTTGAGATGCTAATAGGTTTTGACACCTACGACATTTTAGAAACGTTTTTAACATTTCACTGCATTTTTATCTCTTTACTATAGGAAAAAAAATATTATTATTATTATTCAAATATTATTCTACGTTCACCTTTTGTAACACAGTGTTACATTTCTTTACATTTAAAAAAACATAATTATGCCGGATTATAGTATTAGCCACTCTTAATAGTAGTTAGTTAGAATTACCAGACATTGTGGGATACTTAGAAGTGGCCTATTAACCCATGAAACATACTCGCACGTATCCATACATGTTTTATTGTGTGGGGCAAAGATGTACACTATCATGAAGTGTTATTGCTGTAAATAATTATGAACAATAAAAACTGAAATTTAGAAAAACTACGAACAAAAAATAATGAAAGTCTGTGATTTTCTGTACAGTTTCCAGGAAATTATTAACCGAACCATAACACTTATTAAAAGCAAAGTGCTGAAATTCACTTCAAGTATTTCAGAAATATAATTT